AACGGCAACACTATAAGGAGTACCACTAAACCTCTGCTTACCCTTACGGTCATTAACAGCTTTGTAGTGCGCAATCCTTGCTCGGTTATCGTTATCATAAATCCTGCTTCTGCTTACCAGCTCAGGATAGCTCCTGATCTTCTGACAAGCAATCCCCAACTTAATCTCTGGACGCAGTCCATTCTCAAACTTTAAGCACTTAGAGGTCATTGCCCCTTCCACATTATAGTGGGGACAATACTGCACCATCTCCTCAAACTTGGCAGCATATTCTGCTACAGTCATGCTACCCTGTTTCAGCTCTAAGAATTCAATTTCCTTAGCGCTTCGGATATCTTCCGGGAAATACTTCTCCAGAAAACCTTTCCGAACCACCTCCCAAGTAATGGTAGTTCCAGCATCTTCCAACCTTTGGCGACTATTGTCCCACCAGGCTTCAGCTTCACCCTCCAGCATGTGAGTACCAAACCTCACCTTTTGCTCATCGCTACATTCCATAGTTCTGAAGATCTTCTCAATTGCCTTCAGCCACTTCTGAGCAGCTTCGGGGTCCAGAATTCCCCCTTCGAACGTTGGCGGCTTGTTGCTCCGAAACTGCGCCAAACTCCTGAATTGGGCATCTGCAGTTTGATTCTGATTAGCAACAGCCTGTGCCATTGTTTGCATAGCAGCAGCCAATGCAGCATCATTCCTTCCTGCCATACTGCTCCAAACAACAACACCAGGTTTAAAAGATATTCAACTACATCATAAAGGACAGACTCAACTCGACTCAACAACACTGGCCGGGCGGACCGACCTGCTCTGATACCAATTGTAACACCCCACTTCCCAAAATCAATTAAATTAATAAACATCATAAACAAACATCAGAGTATTTCTCCCCAGTGGGATATCACATAAAATCAACATTTCCTTTATAAAAGGTTTTCCTCCAAAATACAGCGGAATATTAAAAATATTAGAATCCAATAAAAGTTTGATACGTTCACAGGAAAATGAAATATAAGTTCTTCAGAAAACAAATAGAAACGCCCAAGTCCCGTGCTACGTATCAGAGCATCCTAGACTCGACAATCACACCAATATCCAAGCTAGCTAAGCACCTGGATTATCTGTACTTCCGAAGAAGCACAGACCACAACAACAACAAAGGGGTGAGAAATCATGATCAAAAATATAATGGTAATGTAATACATGTAATAAGGCAGTAAAACACACCAACACATCAATTATTCCCCCAAACAACACCACATAACGAACCTACTGTCCAAATTACAATATAACATATTATAATGCAAAATGCAACTCAACACCATGCATGCGGTACCGACTCATTGGTTCATTCAATCGAACCCACCATTCTCCACAAAGGAGTACGGGTGAATCACTTACGCTCCATCCGAGACATGATTCAACCCCACCATTCTCCACAAAGGAGTACGGGTGAATCACTTACGCTCCATCCGAGACATGATTCAACCCCACCATTCTCCACAAAGGAGTACGGACAGATCACTTACGCTCCATCCGAGACATGATCCATCCCACCAAGACACCATGATATGCACACACCAATGCATAACTATTATGTTCAAGCACACTAAGTGCACACGATCCACCTGATCGTATCATTATACATCACATATATATATATATATATATATATATATATATATATATATATATATATATATATATATATATATATATATATATATATATATATATATATATATATATATATATATATATATATATATATATATATATATATATATATATATATATATATATATATATATATATATATATATATATAACATGCACCAACACCATATAAATCAACCAGATAGTAAACAAGTTCATATTCTATCACCAAAATACAAACACATCCCACTACTCGGGGATACACGATCCTACTGATCACTACATACATCTACCTCAACTAATTGTCCACCAGTCATTATTACGGGAAACATGCACTATCACCAAGTACACAAGTTAGTTCCCACACTCATCATTCTTACAGTGCATCAAGGCCAAAGGGATCACACAAGCCCAAGCTCAAGGCCAAAACATCACACAAATCACATTCTGGTTCTGCTACGTTCGCTGGCATTCGCCAGGCGAAGCCCCGTAGCGAACCTTCGCTAGCATTCTCCAGGCGAACCTGCTGGCGAAGCCCCCTTTCCACTATCATGCATTCGCCAGGCGAACCTTCATTCGCCAGGCGAACCTTCGCTGGCCACACTCGCCAGGCGAAGTTCCTACCCTTTAGGTCTGGGACTTAATTCTGAATTATTCGCTGCCACTCGCCTCAGCTCGCCAGGCGAACTCTCGCCTCCACTCGCCAGGCGAAACTTCGCCAACACTCGCCAGGCGAAGCCCAGCGAATGCTGCGATTTCACCAATTTCTCACAGTTCTGCAGATTGCTATCTAGGCCAATTAACTCTAATCTCCTATCCCAATTCACACCTTAACATCAGTACCCACCTTACACGTAATTCAGCCTAAATGATTCCTAATCCCAATATCATCACCTACACACTTTATCGATACCTTAAAAGCCATACAGAACTTTCCCTAAAAACTGTAAACACCCTATATGCCCTATATGCCAAATCAACTCAAATCACCAATTCATTAACGATTACTACATAATTAACAACAATCATCATCAATCATAACAGAACAATATATATTATCATATATCGATCAATTTCCTACGGGGTTAAGGAATCCCCAACTACCCTATACATGTATAAACCATTCCCAATCAAGTTTCTCCCCCCTTACCTTGTTAATCGGTTGATCGATGAAAGAATCCTCCAAGGTTTGGCCAATTCTGATTTTCCCCTGTTCCTTCGTTCTTCGCTCCCTTTTCCGTTCTCTTTTCCGTTCTTCTCACTTCTCTCCTTTCTATCGTTCTTTTTCCACTTTCTCTAACTTCTCACAATGTATCGTGAAAACTACTAATCCTCACATTCCCTATTTTAATTCTCTAATCCCAATAATAATAATAATTTAATAATAATAATAATAATAACTTAATAAATTAATAATAATAATAATAATAATATTATTATCTCACCAAAATAATAATAATATTAATAACAATAGTAACTATAATAAATTTAATAATAATAATAATATTCCCACCAATATCAATATTATACACTATATTATTATATTTACCAAAACACCACCAATAATTCTCCCACATTAAGGACACTCACCAAACATCACCAAATACACCCCCACCAAAGGGCACACCAACATATAATATTTAAAATAATAATAAAATGACTAAATAATTAAAATGGGTGTTACACGAAGCCCCTGGCGGGGTGCGGGGCAACACCCCGTGGGGTTCCAAGGGGCAGAGCCCCTGGCTGGGCAAAAATTTTCTGAAAGTTTTCTGAACAGTTGAACCTGTTCGAAATCTTTCTGAACATTTGAACCTGTTCGAAATTTTGAACTCGTTCGAAATTAAATTTGAAAAGATGAACCCGTTCAAAAACTTTGAACATATGTCCCTTTTCGTTTTCTGTTATTTAATCTCCTATATAAGGAGTCATTTGACCTCAGTTTTACACACTGAATGAAAAATATATTTCTCTCTACATTCTTGATCTGTTTTCTATTGTCAGAAGCAGATTGTTCTTCAAGAATTATCCCCAAAAAGATTTCGTGAACCCAGGCAAATAATATGGTCGAAATACTTTGTTCGAAAAGTGTACGAACACGATTTCTCGAAGATATCCAAAATTATCATATCAAATTTTCTAACAACATTCCTCGTGGTCAACAATAGTTATAGCGGTGACTAGTGGTGATCATTAAAGTAGTCAGTGTTGGTCAGATTGGAGATTATAGGTTGATAAAATTGTGATAAGAGGTTGATGTATTGGTGGTTAGTGGTGTTTTAAATGGTATATTTTGACATGTATGTGGTCTACTCTTGTTCTTTCTAAAACTGGTTGAAACACCTTATCCTCTGCTTGTGCCAATAGAAATTTGAGAGTATTTATTCAGTTTCTTGAGACGAAGTGTTCTTGTTGTCTTTTTGAAGAATTTTGTTTTTGTTGATGGTGACTATGATCTAGCCTAATCTCTCTTTGATGTGGTGGTTTTGATTTGGTATTTTTTTCTTTTGTTTGATATGTTAGTGGATGGTGTGGTTTTTTTCTCCTTTCTTGTTGTGGGACTATGGTGTCTCTTGTGTTTGTTTTATGATTTTTTTTTCCTTCGGTTTGTCTTAGTCTTTTAGAGGGGTTCACTTGGTATCTCCTGTGCATGTGACTTGACCTTTATCTATATTCTTCAAATCTGTATTATTTATTATATGTATTATATTTTCTTTAAAAAAAACTATAAAATTGATTATTTTGGTTTTGAATGTTTTAGTTGAAAACTGCTTTGAAGTTAAGTAAAAAAATTAACTCAATCTCGTTTTATCCAAACAGATTTTAATTGAGTTTAACTTTCAAAACCAAAAACTAAAATAATAAAAGACCCACAACCAGCACAAACATTATATTGTGGCATTGCAAACACAATTTAAAACCATATGTTTGTGAAGACAAGTCAAACCCCAAGTTCTAGGGCAGGTTACTTCATTGAGCCAAACAGTGTTGATTAAAAGATAATGGGATGAGATACACCACAGGTTTAAGAACTAACAATTGATACTTTTATCAAGAATTAAGCTAAAAAAGATTATAACATACAAGTGACAATTATATGAGTCTCACCTTATAAACTAATGAACCATTAAACTTGATTAAAGATAAGATCCCTCACCTCATCAAAACAAGTATCTTATACTGTCTCAGTGAGATCCACAGAGAAACTCAGAGTCATCACTGAATCTCATTTATGCACTCAACCACCCTATTTATATTTATAACCCCCAATCACCCACTCACTCACAAACACACTATAAACTCACTCTCATAAACCACTTTCCATTACAATTATTCTCTCATCCTTCATCATGAGAGAAAAAACAGCATTGCTAGCTCTTATACCAATCCTCTCCACAATTTTTGTTCTACTATTTTCAGTAACCAATTTCTCAAAACTAGCAACAAAACACCAAACAGAACATCTCCATTTCCAAAACCATCTCCAAGTAGCCAATTCAGCATGCCAAGAAACACTTTATCCAAACCTTTGTGTCTCAACTTTATCCACTTTTCCAGATCTTACCTCAAAAACAATCCCACAAATGATTTCCTCTATCCTCAACTTCACCATAAAAGAAGTTAAACAATCCTCTTCCAATGTCACCGGTCTCCGAGTCCGAACCAAAAGTCTCAAAAAAACACTCGACCAAAGAGCTCTTGAAGATTGCGCGAATCTATTCGACACTACAATTGAAGAACTCAAAACAACCATTTCCGATCTCTCTCAAGCTCCAACCACAATAGCTTCCAACAATAAACGCGACTGTCAGACGCTACTCAGCGGCGCAATGACGAATATGTACACATGTTTGGATGGTTTTGCTTACAGTAAAAGTAACGTGAGACACAAAATCGAGAATAGGTTGTATGATATTTCCAAACACGTTAGTAATTCACTTGCCATGTTGAAGAAAGTCCCCGGAGTGAAATCTAAAACTTCGAACTCCGAGGCTTTCCCAGAATACGGTGAGGTGAAAGACGGGTTTCCGTCGTGGCTGACCACGAAAGATCGGAAGCTACTACAAGTTGCAGTGAATCAAACCAAATTCAATCTTGTGGTTGCTAAAGATGGAACAGGAAATTTTACCACTATAGGAGAAGCATTGTCTGCAGCTCCAAATGCTAGCGCGACTAGGTAAGTACTACCTAACTCAGATTTTCGAGAGTTAAATGGTGCTTCAAATATGAAGCACCGAATTATAACTATCGAGAATCTAAATTTATTTTATTAAATTTATTTTTATAATTGGGAATGTGAATGTCTAAATATTTATGTGAATTTTTTATTAATTTTGATAGGTTTGTGATATACATAAAAACTGGGGCATATTTTGAGAATGTGGAAGTGATAAGGAAAAAGAGTAATTTGATGTTAGTTGGAGATGGAATTGGAAAAACAGTTGTGAAGGCAAGTAGAAATGTTGTAGATGGGTGGACCACTTTTCAATCAGCTACTTTTGGTCAGTAATTAGTTACTTCTAACTTTTTCTACTAGTAATTTTTCTCTTTTTAGATAAAGTTTTTTCTTTTTAAAAAAGCAGAAGGAATATATTGACTAACAATTAAACAAAGTAAAAAAGGGATATTTCACAAAACACTGGAGACAAGATACAAAACGGATTTGTTTATAGATTAATTTAATTTAGTGAACTTAAAAGTAATTTTGAATGATTCGGAGAAGGATTATTATAAAACAACATGCATCCATGCGGATCTGGGATGTTTTTCTACTATAGATTGGAATCACGAACCAATGTTCGTTTTCTGACAAATCGCAAGATATATGATTTTTTTAACGCAACTTGTACCTACTTAACTTAAATTTTAATTAACATTACTTAAAAGGAAAATTAGAGTAAATCATTGATTCTCCCAAAAACAAATTGGATATTTACCGACACTTTTTTCATTTCTTTTATCTATAATTTTTATAGAATATAATTATATTTATAATTATTTATAAATATAATTATAGAAATCTCTGTCGGTGTATGGGTCCATGCATTTACTTTAAACAAAAATCCAAACCTGAATTGGCAGCTGTACACAAATTTCCATTTAAATCAGATCCAAGCAAGAATGTATGAAAATTTATGTAGCCCACCAAAGAAAAGGTCACCATTTTCAAAGGAAATATCTGGCATTATTCAATAATGTAATTTTAGTCAAAAATTTACTTTTGGGAGACAAGGAAAGTAAGGTTGTTAAATTAATTAATGTCAATTAAGTATGAGATTTCAATCAACTAAATAAAGCAATGAAATGCATATTTCCTTTAAAAGATCAATAACCAAATTGTTTGAGAGAAAAATGTCCTTTTTTAATGACTAAAAAGGGTCATTATATAATTTGTTTTAAATTAATTGGTTCAATTGTTCTCCAAAATTTAACAATTTTGATATTAATTTATGGTTTTCAGCTGTTGTGGGAGACAGATTCATAGCAAAGGGTATAACCTTTGAGAACTCAGCCGGAGCTAGCAAGCACCAAGCCGTGGCCGTGAGAAGCGGCGCCGATTTCTCAGCCTTCTACCAATGCAGCTTCGTTGCTTACCAAGACACTCTCTACGTCCACTCCCTCCGCCAATTCTACCGCGAATGCGATGTTTATGGCACGGTAGACTTCATCTTTGGCAACGCGGCCGTAGTTTTTCAAAACTGCAACCTATACGCGCGCAAACCCGATCCAAACCAAAAGAACCTATTCACTGCTCAGGGCAGGGAAGATCCTAACCAAAACACAGGAATTTCAATCCTGAACTGTAAGGTTGCGGCCGCTGCGGATTTGATTCCGGTAAAATCAACGTTCAAGAGTTACCTCGGCCGTCCTTGGAAAAAATATTCAAGGACGGTTTATCTTAATTCTGTTATAGAGGATTTGATTGATCCGGCCGGATGGTTGGAGTGGAATGGAACATTTGCATTGGACACATTGTACTATGGGGAGTATAAGAATCGGGGTCCGGGATCGAACACGAGTGCTAGGGTTAATTGGCCAGGTTATAGAGTTATTACTAATGCAACTGAGGCAAGTCAGTTCACTGTTAGGCAATTTATTCAAGGCACTGAGTGGTTGAACTCTACTGGTATTCCATTTTTTCTTGATTTGAGTTGAAAGGTGTAATGGTAATATGGTGTTACTATTATGTACTTTGTTTTCAAATGTGTAATAATAAAAGTCTTTGATGTGTTTTTGGATTATGTGAAATGTGTATTTTGAATTTATATTGAGGATTTTATAGCCTTTCTTAGCATGCTTGTTGGAATAAGTTGATTGTATGGTTGCATTTATAGGCATGTTAAAGAGACTCTACAAATCTCCACATTCTCTCTAAAAGTGATGTAAATTTATCTATGAACGACTTTGTTGTTATCTCTAAACTTGAATCACACTAAAATTATTTTTTTTATCAATTACATGCAATGATTGAACCTTGATTTAAGTAATGACTTAGGAAACACATATGTGGAATTGTCTTTCCATGCAACCTTCTCAACTATAATTTCCTTCAATTTGATGATGTCTCTAATAAATTACAAATCGATGTTAATTTGATTTGTGTTGTCATGATACACTTTATATTTAATTAAATAAATTGTACTTTAATTATCACAATGTATCTTCACACATTTCTAGATGATTCCTAACTCCATAATCATATTTCTTAATCAAATTGTTTTAGTTTTACTTTCAACTAAGGACATATAACTTGAGTTGTAGATAATATCATAACATGTTGATTTTTATTCCAACTATGGTTGTCCCAAATAATGTAAACAAAAAATTCAAAAAAGATTTTCTAATGTTCGCGTTTCTAGTATAGTCTACTTCTACATATTCAACTTCTTTTCTTTTAGCTTCCTTTATGAAATTTAAACCGTCTTCCATGCACCATTTAAATACCTCATTACACAGTTCAAATTTTTTAATTGAATTCAAACCTGATTTTTCATTAACCGACTCACTATGTTAATGATATATGCTAAGTTATGTCTCCTATAAATCATATCATACGTGATGTTTTCAATCCAACACAAGAGTGTTGTGTTTTAAACTAAGGCGATACAAGTAATTACAAGTGTTTTATTCCAAAAACATACAACTCGATTTATAAAACAAATAAATGGATTTGGTTCAAAAGGATTAGTGTGGAATTTTTTATATGTGGAAGTATATAGAGACAAAAATATGTGGAAGTATACAGAGACAAAGTAGTAGCAAGTGTTAAAAGTAAGAGTATTGATCCCACAAAAATTGTATTAACATTGATTTTTCAATTAAAAGTTGTGAATAGTCATGAGCAGAAAACAATAATAATTGTTGTCACAAATTCATAATGAATATTAATAACTAAATGCAAGGAAGTTTAGCATAGATGAGAGCATGTTAAACAACAATGCATTTAATGATTTTCACCTAGTGTGTTAATGTCATGAGATCTATCGTCATAAATGAGGCTAAAATAGGACTTAATGATGTATGCCTACAACAATAAAATAAATGCACTAAATAGTTATGGTACAAATTTCTAAGTCTCACAATAACACTTATGTATGTCTTTACGGAGTTCTGGTTTTTTTTTTATGGTTATAGTTCTTTATCCCTAAAGTAACTATATACCAAATATTTCATTACTTTTTCTATCCATATTTGTCATGATTTCTATTTATCAAAAATTTCTAAACATTAATAAACTTTTATTTTATGTCTAAGATCATAAGGAAAAGGAACAAATATTAATCATTAAAACATATGACAAATATATCTCTAAAATCACACCACATCATACAAAAATATTACTCCCTCTATCCCAAAATAATTGTCGCATCTTATAAAATTATTTATCTCAAAATAATTGTCGCATTTTAGTTTTCAATGTAATTTTAATGTTTATTTTTCAATTATGTCCTCTAATTAATACTCTCAATTTATTATTCTTTCACTATGCATTTATGATTATTCGAATACACCAATAGTAAACAAGGATAGTTTGGTTCAAATACTATTTTCTTTCTTTCATTTATTATATTTTCTTAATCTGTGTGAAATGATCAACTATGACAATTATTTCGGGACGGAGATAGAGGTGTGAATAAGACGGACCAACTAACAGGAACCTACGACCTATCCTACACAAGTCAAGGTCAGACCAAGATTTTTTTTTCAAGTAGAAAAGGCTTAGGCTTTTTTATAAGCCTATTTAGTTAAATAGGTTATGTCACAAGTCATTAAAAAATTTTTTAAGTCTATTAGACCGACCTATTTTAATATATATAAATAAATATATTATTTTTTATATTTTATATTAAAATACAAAAGTAAAGGTTAGTTATCTTGAAGAACTTGTGAAAATAAGTTGAAATTTTTTTATGAATCGTGATATGAATCACGAAAGGGACTTCTTAACTCTTAAGGAATCGGTAGAACGAATCACACTTTTATCACTAAACTATACCCGCTATAATGTCATTATTGTATATAAAATGATCTTTTATCGAACAAGGGAATCAATCATAATTATGAAATAAGTGCATAATTTTATGATAAATAGGGTGTTTACATGTTTCGTAAGGCCCCCTAATGAAATTTAGAAAAGGGGGAAAATCTCATTTTTTGGATTTTGTTGAAGGTATTTTGATAGATAGATCTCGACAAAATTAATAAACTAAATTCATAATACAAAAATGCATTATGCAAGAACCCGTAGTTCTATTTTGTTTTTTATATGTGTTACTTGATTAATTCGTATGATATACGATCACAAAGTTATATTTATTTTTGTTTGATCATATTCAAATGTTTGAATTAATTACAAGTTTGTTTCAAATCTGATACAGAAAAATAAATCATTATTATCCCGGATTAATGAAAAAAAAGAGTTGTGTCAACAAATAATCTCACAAAATTTATGTTTCTATGCAAACTCAAATAAGTTTATGTAAATAAACATTTAGTCCCATTGTACTTTTGATTCTCTAGTATATTTAAACATTAGTTGAATTGCTTATTTGCATATGTTTAAATGATATAGGCTTTTTAAGTAGGCTAATAGGCTAATCATGCATTTGAAAATGTCAGGCTCAGGTCGAAAAATGAGCCTCTGATAGGCCATAGGCCAAACTTTGTCTTTTATTATTTTAGCAGGTCAGACTCAGGCTTGGCAAAGCCTAGCTCGACCTAGCCTATTTCCACCCCTAGACAAAGAGAGTTTTTTTTTATTAAACTTCACATTACTCAACATACATAGTTTAACTCATGGTAAATAGAAGGAATACAACAAAGTAGGATCTCAAGCTTAGCATTTCTAAAAATCGAGGAAAAAATATAAACCTAAGAGCAACATTTTTACTACTTTCATTTCTTAATAGAATATTTTTCTATAAGTGTTTGTAATGTCTGAACCTCTCTATTGATTCTCAATGCATAACATTTTATAGTCTTCTTCACTTATAGTTATTTCCAAACTTTAGGTCTTGCATCTTATGATTATCCATTTATTTGTCCCAAGGAATAAAGTGTATTCCCTCTATATTTGTTAGTACATGTACCGGGGTGGTACACAACTCTTATAGGAGACAACACGTCTCACAACAGACCTGCTATGCATGGTGACTCATGCAGCGCTCAAAACCAAATTTTAAGAGTTTGTCCTCTAGCTCTCTTCCTTATCCATTTAGGTTCCTAGCTCAGCTCTAATTTCCTTTCTTAAAACTTTGCCACATCAACCCAATTATTGAGAATAAAACGCATACAGTATCTTCTAGCTCAAGTCCTACTGCGTAGTGTTCATAAATTTCTGACGTGACGGAACCAATCACCAAATTTACTTATGCGCATTCACAAAACACATAAGAACAACAAAAGAAAGCACTTGGTGTGCTTTATACTAATTAATCCAAATACATACAAAACAAAAATAAATAATGCTTATAAAGCTTAACTCACCAAATATTTCAAGTAAGAATGGCTTAAGTATCTCACAAATAATGAATTATCACACCCTTAAACTTGAACCACTAATTGCCCATTGGTGATGCGACAGATAATTTTAGATATAAATAACTAAAGGAATATAACTGAAAACAACACATTTCTCATAACTAAAATATTCATCAAACGGTTGTATTCAAACATTAGCATAACTCAATCTTTTATCAAATTAATGTTCTGTGTGTGTGTGTGTGTGTGTGTGAGAGAGAGAGAGAGAGAGAGAGAGAGAGAGAGAGAGAGAGAGAGTGTGTGTGTGTGTGTGTGTGTGTGTGTGTGTGTGTGTCCCATGATGCCATATGGTATACCATAAGTATTCATTGAAGATATCAACCTAATTATTAGTTTGGTTACTTTGGCATATGGTTTAAGTCTTAAAATTTCAGCTTCAGAAGAGGAGATTAACTATCTTATTTGCTATGTAAATTTTTGAATTGTTTTTGAACTTGTGGAGTTCTACTAACATCATTTTTCATTCAATTTTTGTTGGGTATTCCCCCTTTTCACCTGACATGGTCACACTTGTTATGGCCCAACCTGTTACTCATAGTAAAACACTCATTATTTCTTTAGTTTCAGGCACAAGAACTTTATCACAAGTTCTTTTTTCTCAAACAAACAACAACAGAAAGCAATAGCAACAGTAAGAATTTGTCACACCCCCAAACTTAAAGTAAGAACAATGTTCTCACTAAACACTTGATGAGTTGTGGCACAATAGAACCTAAAAATTTAAAATAAAGAAAATTAAAACTAACTTTAATTTGGTGGGTTGGTTAGATTATTCAGTATCAGTTATGCATGAAGCCTGTTGCCTTTTCTTGTTCCTCGGGTTTTCTTTATTCTTTTTCTTTACTTAACATCTTCTTCCTTCTTTCGCATTTTAGCTTTGGCCTCCTTGTCTTGTGACCTACCCTTTGTTGTAGCAACAACTGCCAGTTTCCTATTCTTGATCTTCTGTTTTAGAGAGGATTCAGTGGTCCTTTGTTGCTCTGTTGGAGTAGGTTGTGTGCCAACTTATATCATGTCAGAAGGTCGGTCTTTTTTTAGCTTCTTTGGTGCTTTTCTTCTTTTTTTGGATTTTCAGTTTGGTTGTGCTTTATGGATGTCATAACTCTCCTTTGGAT